CCCATTCATCTAAATATGAAGATGGAAACGGAAAAAATAGGGGGTTTTTTTTTTTTTTTTTTCTGTAAATCTATTATGGCACTAAATCCCCATTCAGTTAAATTTTAAGATGGAAACGGTAACAATAGGTGGTTTTTTTTTTTTTGCACATTTGGTTGAATTTGGATATTTGATTTCTGTTTCCTCACAAAGCCATGCCATCGCTCCTTTTATATTAGCTAAAATTTTAACGGACTCATCATTTCGCATTTCTGCGAGTTTTTTTTTTTTTATACTGCAAAGTTGAAGTATTATACAAATCAACTAACATTGGCTGTATAATATTTTTTTATTTAAATCAGTCGATATAATTTTCAGATGTTATACAATATACAAGTATAGCGGTATCAGTCCCTTCACATTTTTGAAGCCAATGAAACTTTAAAAAAATTTTGTTGTAGATATTTTTTTGACATAATTCAATAAATGTATCGAAGCCAAACATCAGGCTTTAGCATCGACAAGAATTTTATTTTTTCCTTGTAGTTGGCTATTCGTTTTTCAAAGATATCGGATATATAATTCAAAGATGCTTTACCATCGACCGTTAACAGTTTAGTAATGTTTTAATGTAGTTTTAATTTACTGTAGCGTATTTGTATGGTGAACGAACGGACAGGACATCAGCTTAGTTACTTTCTCTTTATTTTCTCTTTACTTTAATACATTTTTTGTCTATTTTTGTCTAAAAAACTTTTATCCAATCAATCCAGGGGGGCAAGTGCCCCCTCTTGCCCCCCCCCCTGCGGGTGCCTATGCTTCAGTGTGAAGTAAAATTCTCACATAGTCTGCATTTTGTTCATCACAAAAAAGCTTGATCAGACGTTAATTAGTACATCATTTAGAACATGCGAAATTATTTTAGCCACTAAGTTTTCCCTATGAAAAAATCAATGCGCAATTAGCATTTCTGGATTCTCATCTTTCATCAATTTTAAGCAGCTATTTTACTGCCAACTGAGACTATTGAATATTTTTAAAATGAACTGATTTTTACACTTTTAACGAACACTTATTTTAAATTGAGACTTTAACGAATCTCCTTTTAAAAGACAGGTTAAAACATAGTAGATGGTTGGTTTCAAATTCTAGACAGCTTATTTTCGAATTGCCCCTTTAAACAATTATTATAATTTTATAATTATTGGTGTTTTTATATAGCGTGGTACCCCAGCCGATTGCTGGGCTCATCATAATGTACGTACAATTTAACAAACATAGTCTTGAACTTAAACATTAACATACATTAATTAAATAAAATAAAAAAATATTTATTTACTCCACACATTCAAGAACTATTTACATGTCAAGGCATGGACGTCGACCAACCAACATCGTTTATTGGTCAAAGGGGGGAATCAGTCCGGATAATAAAGTTAGAATACCGTTTGTTTCTCAACACCGGACCCGAGATTCACACTTCACTATAATAAACTAAGGGATTTTAAATATTTACTTGGCGCCCCAGGTGCCCCTATGGCCACGGCGCCCTGTGCGATGAACTTTTTATTACATTCCGTTTGGGGCCGGGGACCTCGAATTCGTTTTTTTTTTTACTTACATGAGCTATATAAATATCAACTCATAAATACTGAACTCATAATATCCATTTCTCTGAGGCCGGGAGCCCCAGTTCATTTTTCCTTCTATAAGCTATGTAAATATCAATAGGCTAAGCCAATGGTATTGGTTCTACGTGAATTGATAGATATAGGCCTAACTTTTCTCATTACCCTTCTTAGTCCGTATTGAAATATCGGTGGATTTAAAACAAATAATATCCAATCTAGAATTTTACAGAAAGTTCGTTAATTATAAAAAGCTATATCTATGGATATTTTTAAATCGATTTTAATAAGATAAATTATAATTTTAATTCTATATTTTATCTGAATGATTTTTATAGCCCCCCCCAGTTCATTGTTGTACTCTGGG